TTGGGGAGCTTGAGGTTGACTTTATTTTTTTTTAGAAAAAGTATGAATGAATGACACCATTCAAAAGAGGGTTTGAGAACTCTTGAGAAGGAAGCATTTTGACAAAGTCATGTGTGCGGAAGGGGTTTGGTGACTAAGGCTCACTAGATTCTATGGGATAGGAAGAAAGTGGGAGGAATCAATGCGAGATTTGGGGGTAGATGGACCAGAGATGGCAGAGGAAGACAGCCTGGAGTCTTGGGAGGTGGGCACCCAGGAGGCAGAAGGGGAGTCTGAAAACCACGGAAAGGTGCAACAATACTGTAAAGACCTTCTCAAGGGTCAGGAAGCGGGAGGAACCAGCCACCTTCCAGTGCGTGCTGATGGTGGCTGGAGTTGAAACCCGAGGCATGGGCCCAAGCCTAGTCCGGCACTGAGACGCAAACTAATTTGTCAGCAGAGTCAGGGGCTGGTAACACACACACATAATCCATTAACATGCCCGTATCGTGTATCATAGCCTAATTCTTCCCCTTGATTTGTAAGCTTGAGAATGGCAAAGGGCCATTTCCTGCCTAAAGGATCAGTGATTAAGCAGTGCTTGATTGAACTAATTTCACTTCTTTTTACCCCAGTGTTTCTATGCTAGAGACCCAGACTTCTTATAAGCACAGATGGTTTCCAATGTGCTTATCATGGATGAGGTGGAAAATGAAAACGAATAAGCTTTAAACTGCTTAATTACAGAACCCGTTGTTTGAACAAATCCAAGCAGAAGAGCTTTGATGAATAGATTGATGTTAAATTGAAGCAATGGATTTTGTGGTGAGAAACAGCATTCTAAAACTCACAGAGGGACTTCCCTGGTGGCACAGTGGTTAAGAATCCGCCTGCCAATGCAGGGGACACAAGTTCGAGCCCTGGTCCGGGAAGATCCCACATGCCATGGAGCAACTAAGCCCGTGTGCCACAACTACTGAAGCCCGTGCGCCCAGAGCCTGTGCTCTGCAACAAGAGAAGCCACCACAATGAGAAGCCCGCGCACCGCAATGAAGAGTAGCCCCCGCTCACCGCAATTAGAGAAAGCCAGTGGGCAGCAACAAAGACCCAACGCAGCCAAAAATAAATAAATAAAATAAATAAAAAATAAAACTCACAGAACTTGTTCAAATAAAATATACTTGAGACTTGAATGAAACACTGGACAAAATTTCAGATGACAGGTTGTTGGAAAGAATGCCTAATATTCTGGTGGACAGATCGAGAATCCAAAGACATCTTGATAGGCCAAAATAAATTCCAGAAGCAGTAAAGACTCAGTGCATTCACCAATGCAGACTCTACCTGGAATATTGCATTCAATTCTGAATGAAATTCAGAATTTGACTCTCTTCTCTGTGGCCTCCCCACGTGACCTGCACTTCTCCCTGCATGGCGGCGGGGCCTCCACAGGAGTATTCCTGGTGTGTGACAGTGGAAGCTGTAGATGGGTAAGGCCCGTCCATGGAAATTACACAGTCACACTTCTGCTGCATTTTACTGCGTCAAAAGAGTCTCCAGGCTCCCCAGATTCAAGGGCAAGAATTCCACTCTGTAAACAGCAGGTGCATCATAATCAATGATCAATCACGTCACTTCTTTCACGGTCTTTCTGTGATTGGCCGCTAAGCGTCTGTTATTGGGTTCAAACACAGACAGCAAAGCATGTACTTGTGTTTCCTCCTTGTCTCCCGGTGATAAACCCATGTGACATTTTACAAACACGGATGATCAAAAGGGAGAATTGGCCCAAAAGATGAAAGTGCAGGAAGAAAATGAAAAGCAATCATGCTGGGAGTGGAATTTGGATTTGAACGTAAATGGAGTCACAATGAAAAGCTGACATGGGGGATGTGGACACTCTAGCTGGGCAGCCACAGAAATTCTGTGAAGGTGAATTTATTGCATAAATGAGGAAAGCAGTTGTGATGGAAAGAAGGATGTCTTTTAGAGAAAGTGACACCGCCAAAAGAACACACTTAAAGGAAACCTTGGAGGTGTTTCACAGCACTGAAAGCTCAAAGGAAGAAATTTGGGAAGCGAACCCAAACTTAGAAAGAGGTAGGGCAATTTCCCCAGGCATATAGAAGATGCTCACTTAATGTCAGAAGTTACACAGCGGGAAGAAGGCCAGCACTGTTCAACTACTATTGGTAAGTTTTTACCAAAAAGTGAACCACTTTCTCAATGTTTTTGATGTCTGAGCTTATGGTGTATTCAATAAATACTAGTTTTACTCTTTTTAAATTTTCCTATGCATTTGTAACCAACAGTAAGAGAGTTTTTAATGTTTTGACAAAAAAATTTTAAAGGTCAAGGAATAATCCTCATTTTTCCCATTCATTATTCATTGGTTTGCACAGTATTAGCATCTAGGGTCGTGTTTATGGTCTCACGTTGCAAAGTGAGGACCATCTGTGTGTGTGTGTAAATATGAAAATAAAAATAAATACACACACACATACGCATGCACACAATAGCTTGCTTTATGGTAAAAAATGGGGCCCCCTCTGGAATGTTTTAGAACCATGAAGTGGGCCTCCACCAGGGGCTACTTTGGGAGTTTATGGGGGCACCTTTTTGTTGTCTTAATGACTGTAAGGTGCTGCTAGCAATTGGTGGGCGAGGTCAAGAATAACAAGTGTCCTGCTTTGCACAGGACAGTGAAGGCCACAAGGCATCTGAACGACCCACCAGACATTTGTGTAAGTGAAAAGCATGTTTAAAATTATTTGGTCTTCCAACCTAATTCTATTTCACACGATAGTTTTAAAATGTTTTAATGTAATTGAATTTGTGGGAATGCAACTACTGTGCAAATTAATGAATGATTGTACTTTGAACCAAGAAGCTTGCACCATTTTGGAAAATAGCATCATCGATGACAAAGGTGATAATGGAATCTGTATTTTTTTTTTTTTCTGGTCAAACTTTTTTTTTAACATCTTTATTGGAGAATTGGTGCGTTAGTATTGGTGTGTTAGTTTCTGCTTTATAACAAAGTGAATCAGTTATACATATACATATGTCCCCATATCTCTTCCCTCTTGCATCTCCCTCCCTCCCTCCCACCCTCCCTATCCCACCCCTCTAGGTGGTCACAAAGCACTGAGCTGATCTCCCTGTGCTATGCGGCTGCTTCCCAC